AAGTTCTTTTTTAAAGCATAGTGAACAGTACCAATTTAATAAAATTTTCAAATGATAAGTAATATATCCACACAAATTTTACAAAATTACAATCTTTGCCATGCATTATTCTTTTTGGCCATTATTATATTTTATTAAATATTATATCATTTTTAGTCATTTAACATAGTTATAGCAATTTTATATAAAAATTTACAAACACTCGTACACAATTTTTTTTTGGGAACTTTAGTGCAAAACTCCCGATACTGTTCATTTTAATGAAAAACCACTTTTTTACATTAAAAAATCAATCCTAATACTATTCACCTTACTTATTATTTTGTCCTTATCATTAAAACTCAAAGTTTTCAAGTCCATTTCATTAGTTGTTTTTTTTTTTTTTTTAAGTTAGAAGCACTTTTATAAGAAAAAGTTTACCAAACACTTAACAACTTTATTTGACAGCTATTTATTCTCACAACACATCAAAACAATTTTTTTTTAAAAGCACATCAATGAATTATTCGCGTGTTATAAGTGGGTCAGACGACATTAGTCATATTTATGAACTCAATATGTAAGATTAATAAATCAATACACATGTTTTCTTTTATGAAACCCAACGATATTCTAATAAACCTAATCTAAACGATGTTGAGGAGGATTCAAACTTTGGTCATAGAGAAACAACACATTTTTTTACTCAATTTAGCTAAATCTGAATTTCCATACACCTGTTAACATTAATTACTTAATAACATTACATGACAGTATTTGACAATTGTTATTGAAATGTATTTATATTTGGCACTCCCTACTTCCCCGCAACAAAATTTGGTTTCAAAATTCTCAACCAAACGTCCGTTTTTCCCCTTGCCAAAAAATAATTGCAACTTGATTAATTGTGGAATATGGCACTGAAATTTATTTAATGCTAACAATATTTCTTTCCATCTTCACAACTTGGCGATGCATGTGGAATATGGCAGATGACTTCCTATAAAAGCCAACTTGCAACGATTTCTTTTACTCTTGTGTTTCAATGGTTGATATGGAGACATTAGACCAGAATCTTGTTTCAAGCTGGTTTGATGTTCAATCTGTTCCCCAAACCTTTGTCCACCCACCTGAAAAGCGTCCCGGTAACAGTATTGACGTTCCTCCGTGCAAGAACATTCCGGTAGTTGATCTTGGCAGCCGTGACCGCAGTCACACAATTCAACAAATTTCCAAAGCTAGCCAAGACTTCGGATTTTTCCAGGTTTGTAAAAAGTCATGCATCTTCATCAACATTACACTTCTTCCATCTTGTATTTTGCATTAAAGTTTAAGTTCAATTATGTTTATGCTAAACGAAAGTAGTCTGCCATTGAATAGATGTCAGTTCTTGATTAAAAAAAATTATTTATATGTTGTTGATAATGTGTTGATATTATTTTCATCAAGTTGTTTATCGAAGCATGTCCGTTCCCGTTCATTATTATTTTTATTTATTAAGGAACAAACGTTTTTGCTCAGAAAATTTATGATACGAACAGTATTGTTATTTTCTCAGGTCATCAATCATCGGGTTTGCAAGAAGTTGATTGATAACATAATGAGTATTTCCAAGGAGTTTCATAAAATGCCCCAAAAAGATAAGATAATTGAAGGCTCAAAGGACCCTAGTGGAAGATGCAAGTTCTACACAAGCAGTGAAAACTATGCGAATGAAGAGGTTCACTACTGGCGAGATGCATTGACTCACCCTGCTCATTCTTCTGAAAACTACATGCAGTTTTTGCCTCAAAAACCTACTCAATACCGGTACAGGGTGCTCGTATCCTTTTCGAAATGAATGATATCCGTATTCCCTTTTCTCCGGCTACTCTTCTTTTATTTCCTAGTATTTAGATTGAATAAATTAAAGGAGAATCAAGGGACATAAAGGTGACGAGTGTTTTAGGAAAAAACAAAAATGTGAAAATGACTACTCATTGCTTAATTCCATGCGAACGGAGATCGATGATGATTTTGAATTTTTCATTTCTTTGCAGAGAAGTTTTCAAGGCATACGTGGATGAGGTAAGAACCATGGGTTCTATGATTTTGGAGATGCTTGCTGAAGGGTTGGGACTGAGCAAAGAGTTCTTCAACGGTGGACTTATTGAAAATCCAACGCTGCTGTCCAACCATTATCCGCCATGCCCAGATCCTACTTTAACCTTGGGATTAAAGAAACACCGCGATCCGAGCCTCATAACCATTTTACTTCAAGATTCAGAAGGACTTCAAGTCTTCAAAGATGGGAATTGGATTGGTGTTGAGCCTATTTCTAGTGGCTTTGTTGTTAACATAGGCTACGTCATGCAGGTACGTTACATGTAAAAATCCCTTTATTTATGTTCTATTAAATCTTCATATACAAAAATAAGATCTCTTAAACATTAATTTGATGGCCACTAATGCAGATGATCAGCAACTCGAAGTTTAAAGGCGCTGACCATCGAGTGGTGACAAATTCAAGAGTTGCAAGGACAACGATTGCATACTTCATATATCCGTCTAGTGAGACCGTTATAGAACCTGCAAATGTTTTGTGCAATCCACCACTGTACAGATCCATGAAGTTTACGGAGTTCCTTCAACACTTCAAATCGAAAGCTGCCAACGACGAAGAAATGTCGAAGGTTTTAAGCCTTTCGAGTAGCTAATCATGTGATCCAATTAATTATGATTAATTAAGAGAAAACACCATACGTTTGTGTCAAAACAATTATGACTATAGGTTGCAATTCTTGCACAAATAGTTAGGAGATGATGAGATTATATTTGTACTCGTGTGTGTTTCGATAACAATATTAATTATTGGTTACTAAACATATTTAAGCTGGTTTAGGAAAATAATCCCGACAAGCTAGCCCAAATGAAAATAAAATTGGTGCAGGTGAGGACATGAGGGCATAATCAACCTACCAAAAGAGGAAATAATTATCTCACTTTTTGTTATTTATCGTTGAAGCAGAATTTAAACTTAAATTTCTTTCAAACAAAGAGAAGAAAAGTATCACAATTAATAATCTCTTAAGTTTTTTTTTTTTTGTTTTTTTGTTTTTTTGACAATATAAGTATTAAGAGCAATTTGAACTTAGATGCAAGGGCACACCCCCTAACAAAACCTCATCCGATACTTCCTTTTATTTATTTTTTTTGAGTTCATCGATATTTTTACACTAAGGAGAGAAGAAGTTTGGCTAAGCAACACAATGAGCAGCATAATTTGGTATGAAATTCGTCATTTATAAGATTCGAACCTAAGACCTCTCATTTCTAAGTGAAGAATAATACCCCCAAATCGTAGTACTTTGTGGCTCATCTGATGTTTTGTCTCCTTGATTGATTTGGAACTCATCGTATGGAAGACTGAATAACTAATCGATAAGAACTTGAGGAGACTTTAGAATTATTTGATGTACTGACAGATAATGTTGAGGGTTGAAACATCCAAATCATGAGCATTATTGGTAGTGCTTGGCATACAAAAAATATATCTAGGTTGTTGACTTGGAGTTGTATTGTTGTACAAGTTGTGTGTTGTTTAGGGAAAGAAGAAAACTATAGCATGATTAGGAGATATCAGATGCATCTTTGGTTATGAAGTGCAAACACAGGCTTGTATTTGAACAATATTTTTTGATTGAGTGACATGCGCATATAGTTGACAATGGCTCTCCAAAACTCTAAATCCATCAATTTAGGACAGGTTCTACATGTAGTTAAGTATGTGTATTATCACGTGAGATAAAAGTTTTACATAATGAGAAAAATAGAGGTAGGATGATATATCACCAGTTATACCTAACTTGGAGTACATATATTTAAACGAGAATGCCAAAATCACTACTGGTAGAAGATTAACCAAGCATGCATGTCGCATAACTCAAAAATGCATATTGATTTTAGAAGTAGTCATATCCCAGAACTATCTAGTAGTAGGCCAGCTCCGGACCAGAATTTCAACTACCTTCATAATGTGTGACCTCAAAACCAGTCCAAGACAGGAAACCAATCTTCCAACACCTGTATGGTTCATCGATTTAAGTGGAAGTATACATGGCTTCTTGGCGGTTTAGCATCCCTTCAGGCTCCGGTTCTATGAAATTTAACATGTATTCAATCAGAATTTTAAGATAATTTATTAAAATTCTTATTAATTTGAGTATATTCAATTAGAATTTTAAATAAGTTTATAACATTTCAGGTGTATTTAATTGAGAATTTATTTTAAAGAATTTTAAAAAGTTAAAGAATTTGAGGGATTAGAGAGATTTCTTAGTGTATTTTAAGAATTCTCAAATCTCACATCTTTCCATGAGATTTCAAGAGATTTAAATCTAAAATTTATATGAAATCTCTACAAATTAATTGAACTCCATCAAAATCCATTAAAATCCTCAAAATCTCAATTGAATACATTTCCTTAGTTTTGAATCAGTTACTCTTTATTCTTGCCTTTTCAAGTTACTTTTACAGTCTTGTTGAAATTCGTGCCTTGCATGCATCTTTAATGCATTGTCAAAATAATACAGTTCAATGTACAAGGGTACAATACATGTGCTCAGTTTAACGTACACGGATACAATACATGTGCTCCAATAAAGTGTTAACTAATTCTAAAAGAACCTGCGGCATTAGCTGAGCTATGGGCCGTGTCCATAACAGATTTGATCATCTATATCAGCATCTGTGAGACACAAAAATTCCCACGTTTCAGTCACATTCACGCCATTTGACCTTATTTGACAGTCACAATGAAAAATCCACGTGTTAGGGGAACAAAACTATTTTTCTACTAGTACTTCCCAAATATGAAGCTTCATAACTCTAGAGGATTTGATTTGACAATTGTCATGGAAAGTTTTAATGTGTAACAGAATTTGCAGATTTCGCATTAATAATTCACGTGAAAGATGACATATGACTTCCTATAGAAGGCAACGTACAACCATTCATTTCACCATTGTATTTCACAGATTGACATGGAGCCAGTAGATCAGAAGCTTGTTTCAAGCTGGTATGATGTTCAGTCGGTGCCCCAAACCTTTGTCCAACCGCCGGAAAAGTGGCCTGGCAAGGATATCGACGTTCCTCTGTGCAAGAACATTCCGGTAGTTGATCTCAGGGGGCCTGATTGGAGTCGCACAATTGAACAAATCTCTGAAGCCATCCAAGAGTTCGGATTTTTCCAGGTTCAGAAAAGGAAAAAAAAAAACGTTCATGCACCTTCATCAATTTTAGTATTTTGCACTTGTTTCATCTTGTTATTTACATTCAAGTTTGGACATATGCGCATAAGAAGCAGTTACAAACTTTCGATCACTGAACAAACAATTGTCTATAACACTGTTTAGTGCCTTTTTTTTGTCTGTTTTGTGATCCTCTTGTTGCCGTAAAGTTTTTAAAGTTCATTTTGTGATCATATCATATGCTAAACAAAGTGTAATCCGCTACTTTCTCAGGTGATCAACCATGGGGTTTCCAAGAAGCTGATTGATGACACAATGAATGTTTCCAAGGATTTTCATGCAATGCCCCGAAAAGACAAGGAAACTGAAAGCTCAAAGGACCCAAGTGGAAGATGCAAGTTCTACACAAGCAGTGAAAACTATGCAAATGAAGAGGTTCACTTCTGGAGAGATGCACTGGTACACCCTGCTGATTCTTCTGAAAACTACATGCAATATTTGCCTGAAAAACCTACTCGATACCGGTATGTAACGCTCTCGTGCACTTTTCGAACTTCTACGCACTTAATGAAAGTGACTTCTACCACTCTCATTTTCTCCCCTTGTACTCCTTTCTTAATAAACAAAAAATTAGTCTTTGGATTCAATAAATCAAAGGAGAGTCGGGGAAGGAGTGTGAAAAACGCTACTCATTGCTTAGAAACACGAATGGATCGACGATGATTTTGATTTTCCTTTTTTTTTCATATGTAAGCAGACAGGTTGTCAAAGCTTTTATGGAGGAGTTAAGAAAATTGGGGTCTGTCATTCTGGAGATGCTTGCTGAAGGGTTGGGACTGAACAAAGACTTCTTCAATGGCGGACTTACAGAAAATCCAACGCTGATGTTCAATCATTACCCGCTGTGCCCAGATCCTAGTTTAACCTTGGGATTAAAGGCACACCGCGATGCGTCCCTCATAACCATTTTACTTCAAGATTCAGAGGGGCTTCAAGTCTTCAAAGATGGGAATTGGTTTGGCGTTGAGCCTATTTCCGATGCCTTTGTTGTTAACATAGGCTATGTCATGCAGGTACGTAATTAATTTTAACCTTGTTAGGTCTTTGTATACGCAAAAATATGGTTTCTCTAGCATTAACCTAATGACGTGGACTAATGCAGATGATCAGCAATTCAAAGTTTAAAGGCGCAGAACATCGAGTGGTGACGAATTCAAGAGATGCAAGGACAACGGTCGCGTACTTTGTTTATCCGTCTAATGAGACTGTTATAGAACCTGCAAAAGCTTTGTGCAATCCAGTGAATCCACCATTGTACAAATCCATGACGTTTGCAGAGTTCATTCGACACTTCTATTCGACAGCTGCCGATGCTGAAGAACTGTTGAGGGTTTTAAGCCTCACTGAGTAGCAAATCGGGTGATCTGCCGAACGATGATGATTGATCAAGAGAAATCGCCCAACATTTCAATGTTTGTGTTGAAAATTTATGACTATAGATTATGTGTTCGAAAAGCACTTAAAAGTACTTCCTGAAAGAAACACATAACTGGTGCTTTTTGTAGAAAGCACTTAAAGTGTTTTTGAAACTCAAAAATATTTTCTCTAAAAACACTTTCAGTCATTTTAAAAGGACATCCAAACGAGCCCATAGTTAGTTACGTTCAAGATTTTATCTCAATTTAACCCAAGACAACATGTATAATACATAGGGTTTGGGTGACATATGAAGGCTCATCGTACAGCCTCATGCACTCCTCCTAGTCCTATGAATGAAAAAAAAATGCAAATATATTTAATTTGAAATGCAGGAGACAACAAAAGAAGTGCCAAAATCACTACCCCAAATCCGAATGACCATGTAGTCTTGAAAAGAATGGAATGAAATGGGCTGTGAGATGAAGTTGTAGGGAGGGACTATGTCCCAAACTATCTAGTAGTAGTCCAACTCCATTGTAGACCATAATTTCACAATGGCCCAGAACCACCTTCATAATGTATGACTACAAAACCAGTCTTTGAACACTTATATATAGAGACGAATCTACAACATTACTTTTTTAACTTTATTTTTTACATACGTTTTTGTAGAGCTATTCCGTAATGTTTCAACGATCCAAATTGTCTATCTTTTAAAATATTATTCATAAATCATCCTATATATAAAACTAGTTACAACTGTTAATTAAAAGTAAAATTTGCAAGACACTTAGACATAAATAAAGGACCACTAAACAGTGGTTTATATACGGTTTACTGTAGGTTCAGATTTTTTATCAAAAATTTGTAACCAATCTCTTTATACTTTCACGTTTAAGTTGTTACTGAATTTCATTGATTTGATAAATTAAAAAATAAATCTTACTGAAGCTATTGGTCAAAATATTATATCAGCATCTATGAATCACACTATCAAGTTTCAGTAACATTCAGCACCATTTTATTATGGCAACAAAGCACAAATACTGGTACAATTTTGGTGATCAATCTCTCATCCTACTCCTACACATCAAAAACCACGTAAACTCCACATATCAACCACCTTTGCCTAGTCCACCTTCTTCTTTCCCTATATTAGCTGTTGTTCTACTAAGCCCCATGGCCTCAGCTTTCTTATTAGTGAGCTGCCATCTCATCGTTGTCAAGTTTTGCTCAAACTGGCACCAAGTCAGTCTCCTGATCATGAGGTCCCTTACCACCTTGCGAGCTCGGCAAAACAAGGAACTACTCACAGCCTTCTCTCCGTCAGTGTGGAACCGTGGGCTTCAAGAATCAGTCATTCGTGGAATCCCAATTGTTCAGTTCAAAGGAGGAATTGATGAAGAGGGAAGTGTGTGTGGATGTGCAGTTTGTTTGAAAGAGTTTCAAGAACAAGACACTAAAAGTTCTTCCCAACTGCAGCCATGAGTTTCACTTGGACTGCATTGATGCATGGCTTCAAAGCAAATGCCAACTGCCCCCTTTGCAGAACAAGTGTTTCGGGTACTATTCGTTGTCCAATCGATCATGTCATAGCACCGAGCTCTTCACCTCAGGACTCGGAGCTGTTTTTGATTGGTAGTGATGCGGACTTTGTAGTCATTGAATTGGAGGGAGGAGATGGAGTCATACTTCCTCCTAGGCAACCACAAAGGGATGATTCCACACAAGTCATTACTCATAGCACAACATTGAAGTTATGAACCAAGAAAGACGGAGAAGGTAAAAACTAAGGTCTGTTTTTCCCTTCCTATTGAATAAGTTGTAATGTGAATTTCTTTTTGTAATCTTTTTCCTTAATATAAGCGGTATTGGAAGAGGGTAAAATCAAGCTCAGGACTTGAGATGTATAGATGAATGCTTTTAACTAAGCTATAAACAACTGGTGCCAGATTAGGAGAGCGTAAGTCAAACTTAGGACATCAGGTGCAGAAGTGAATGCTCTTAACTAAGTTGCAAGCTCTTGGAATGACATTGGAAGGGAGGATTCGAACTCGGAGCCTCGTATTGGTGAATTCTCTTAAAACAGCTGAGCTAAAGAAGATGAAATTGTTGACTTGCAATTGGATAGTTGCATAACATGAGATATACCAATGTATAGGGTCACATTGGGTTAATTTAGACATAACAAGAAAATATGTCCGCGCGTTGTTGCGGGACTTGAATGTATTAGTTGCAACAGACATGAATAGTTTCCACACAAAGCAACTAAAAAGACGTAACACCTAAGAATCAATGAACAATTGGGGCATCTTACTCATATGTGAGAGTCTCAATCCCTATTGAACAAAAGTCCTATTTCTTCAAATTGAATCGACATCATTGATCAAGCAATTAAACATTCCTACTGGCAAATAATTGACCCATGAGTTAAGCAGATATATAGGGATTGGACACAGGGGGCATGATTAAACTATATAATTTAACAAAGGTAAAGGTCAATACAACTCTTCGAATTAAACTATATATCTAATTTACCAGAAAACTTTGTAAAAGTGACAGTTTACCTAATATAAACACTTAATTTTCCTATTTAAAACAGTTTACCCATATTTTATAAGTAAAATATAGCTTAAGCTTAATTTATTAACAGCTTAATGCAGTTCAAAAGTAGTTTCTGTTGTGGCGAGAAGGAGAAGCTACAGCCAACCCGCCTTAACTTTTTACTTTTTCCAGATGCATATGTACAGTTTACCTGCACCCTCATATCATGTGTCTTGAGATGTTATCTATCCTCCACTTGCAGCATTTTCGCTCTTCTGCATGGGAACCTCAACGGCAAACGATCTGTTACCAGTTAATGGAGATGTCTTCTGCACGATTGGACTACAAAGAGGGAGAAAAACAGTATTAGGAAAACACATTATACTCAAAATCATCACCAAAGATATTTTCAAACAAATCGCAATCCATTACACAAAGTGCATCCAACTCCAAGGCAAGAATACAGATAAACCACCACCAGCAACCAAAACAGTTTTTTTTTTTTTTTTTTAATGAATTATACACCTCTCACGCAAGCAGTAACCAGTTCTTCTGAACTGCGCATCTGTAAAACACATGAGTATGGATATACTCAAGAGAGCAACAATCATTAAATTTCTAACATCACCGGCATTCACAACATTAAGCATGTAGGGAAACTATTTCATTTCATTTTAATTTTAGGTGACACAACTGATGCAAGAAGGGAGCAAGTAGCATGGCATCAAGAACAAAGGAAGATATTTAGGATGGAACTATTAAAAGTTTCTGTAAACCATTAAATTTATGCTTAGTGAGTATACCAGAAGATCTGCGTTCAACGAAAGTACGGCAACCAGGGGTCTGTGAGTATACCAGAAAATCTCAGAAATGCACATCAGTCCAAGGTCTCAAGTTCACATAGTGGGGAATTACTTATTAGAACAGTTTGTCACCAAAAAAATATATTGGAGAATCAAATTGAAAAATTCAACATAACCCAAATTTACATTAACAGATAAACAGATGCTACAGTAAAGAAAAAGAGAGCCAAGAACGGAATTTTACTTTATCTATGCCGATAACTGTCTGAGAACGAAACAAAGACCAACTGGAATGCAAAAAATAATGAAGTGAAATAAGCATATGGAAGTGTTATATATAATGAAGTGAAATTATCCACTATGGTTTATTTGACATATGGATAATTTCTTCTAAGAAAGAGAAATAAGCATATATGGAAGTGTTATATATATATATATATAGTTTTTGTTCCAATTTGTTGTGTTTTGGGAAAGAGAATAATGTAATTATCATTAAATATTGGTTTTGAATTTGGGTGTTCGAAGGACTCAATATTTATTTTAGTTTGTGTAGAGAACGGAGACCTAATGGCATGTTGGTTGAATGCTACATGAGAATACAGAAAGGCCAAAACTTTGGGGTTATTTTAAGTAAAAAAAATGTTGATGCATCAAATACATTTAATGAACACTCCCAATGCCGTCTTCATGTTCCCATCGAAACACTATGCATCTAAATCCTATACTCAATTCATAAAGGTTAGCCCCATTAATTAAGTGAATATAATTGCAATATGCATAATTAGTTGATATCAACCATGTATATCTCACACAACTAAGAATGCAGTTTTGGGGTTTTTCCAGCCCATGATAAGTTATCCTACGTCTATAAGGAATTACAGTCTTACGATTAAATTGTTTTTCCAATTGGAGTTGTTTTCTCAATTGGAGAAGGATTCATAACTAGATTCCTATTAGGATTAGTAATCCTTATTGAAGAAGACCTTTATTATGTCTATATAAAGGGACTATTGTACTAGTTTTGAGAAGGGAGCAAAACAATAAATTGTATACCACTCAAGGGATTAGAGTGAGAGAATATTGTAAAGTGTGTGCGAGAGAAAAGAAAAGAGATAGGGTATTTTTTGTTCTTGTTCTTTTAGGTTTTTCGTCAATTCCTAGTTCTAGAGATTTGGCAAGATTATTGGTTGTACTCATTATTGATATAGTGAAAGATTGTTGTTGCTGTCCCGTGGACGTAGGCACATATTGCCGAACCGCGTAAATTCTTGGTGTTATTTATCTTGGTTATTTGTTTTCGATTTCCGAAGTTTGTTCTATTTTTCCCATTCTTAAACACAATATTCTCAACATGCAGGGCCAAAACTAGAGTATACTTACATAGGTGTTATTTCCTGTTTGCATTTTGATAAGTTATTTCCTATTTGCATTTTGATAAGTCTCATGTTTTAACAATCATCCAGCATCCCACTCATGGCATAATTGTTTGTGGGATGACACAACCCATGGCACAACTGGAGACTAATTCTACAGAACCCATGACACAAAACAATCCAAAATTAACAGATTGCAGTAACAACATTCCAACAAAAGTAAGAAGACCAGAAAAATGATATATTAAAGTAATTTGGTTCCATCATGCATAAATCAAGGCAATCACGTAAGGCTAGTATGTACGGTAATCCAACACATTAACGTAAAGCATCCAAATACAGACTCAGAATTACAAAACTCATGAAAATTCACATTCCAACGTGTTACCAATCACCAATTTCAAATCCACCAAAACCAAAACCCAAAATCAAAAGAAGGTGATCAAATGTTTGATTTTGCTTAATATTACAAAATAAAATAAATAAAAATATGTACAAATCAGCATGCATACCTTGTAGCAGTGCAGGGAACAGTAGCGCAATTGCATCGAGGGTGTCTGTACTGGGAAAATTGCTTCTTTTAGAACTTGTTGCAAGTTTAGAGCAGCGTTGAACTACTCACTGTACAAAATATTCTAGGTACATGTGTGTGTATATATATACATACACACACACACACACACTAATCAGCACTTCAGAGCTTCCTTCTTTCTTCCGATATGTATGCTTCCTTGATACAAATTGGAAAAATGAAAGTTATTAAGTAAATAAATGACAGTTTTAGTGAAAATGAGAGAACACAACTTATTTATTGAGAACAAAGCCACTTTCCTAATTGCCAAAAAATTAAATATTTTCTTCAATTAGTTCTCAAATGCACTTAATATGATCCTAATCTCAAACGGGTATCCTCCACCCCTCAAAATCTCCACACCAAAATTGAAAATTTCACTGCTTTCAAACAGCAAACAAAAAAAAGCTACCAAGATGCTAAAAAATTGTGCATAACCTAAGCAATGATTATTAATGCACAATACTAAACCATTTTCATTGGTTAACCATTAAAACCAGAAATCTGTAATTGCATACAACACAAATACTTTTAAACTACATAACTTTATGTATGTTTTAGAAGTTATATTTTTTTTCTAATCTATAGTCTAGTACAATGTTTGAAATCTTGATCTGAAATGTTTAACTGAGAACGAAATCACAAATTTTATAGGCAAACAGCATATATAAAAATAAAAAAGTGCAAAAAATTTTATTTCCATTTAGTTCTATTGTGATAAGTATACCTGAAACCATGGCTAAAAACTAAGCTTTCATTCATTTTGTTCAAAGAAACATTCTCAAGCAATAGAGAAAAAAAAGTAACCTCTTCGACTGACCGAAATCATATAATTCCTTAATCCTTTCAACTTCGACAGATTGAAGAAATCTTATGAATTATTTTGCTAATAATTTGCAGCACAAATTATGCTCCCACCTATTTCAAAAAATCACAAAGTCTAAACATCACATTTAACATGAAAAAACTAAAATTGATTAAACAAACTTTAAATTGGCTAGACACAAAGCATATACAAACAAAGGCAATGTTGCTGTCCACAAAAGAAAAGGAAAGGAAAAAAAAAAAAAAAAAAAAAACCATACAACACTGTGAAATACCATTAATCACATATACTAACTACCAACATCACAACCTAATTTTTTTTTGGCCGATTCAAAACATTGTATTTATAAAGATTGGCAAAACCCCATTACAAAAAAGATTGACACTTTTTTTCAGGCTCTGCTTAGTTTGAAAGCCCACATCTATAAAGACTGGGATCACATATAAACACTGGGACAAAAACCTGGCAGCAACGAATGCAAAATCACTCACACAACATGATACAAAATCCTAACATACTAATTAATACAACATTATAATCCACCATCCCATTTGTCAACATAATTCACCTCTCTGACTATCTTCCCCCTCTCTCTCACCAAACAAAAATACCCATCTTCCTGTTTTGAAAGCTGCAATTATATAATTGAAAACAATATATAATAAAAATAGAAAAGAGTGAACTCAAGATTAATAAAGGCAAACCAAAATTTAAATGTTCATAGACGATCACCAAGCATTACACTCTAACTTTCAGTCAAGCTTAAACGGATATCCTATCTTTCCTTGTAACTCATCTTTCTTTTTATGGATATTAGTTTTTGTTTCTACATTTAAACAAAATGGTAGCATGAAAAACTCATTTTGCCAAGTTATCGACCATTAACAAATAGCTTCTAGAAAAGGTCAAAGTGAATAAGATCATTTCAACCTTTAGCTCGAGAACAATTCATAAAAATCTACCCAACTGCACCATTCTTTGTGATATTGGAACACAACATTAAGTTGTTTGATTTCAAGCAAGCCTACTTTACCTCTATACATGGAAATGGTCCTATTTGTGCTGCATTAAACGTTAGCAAAACCATATTAATTGAAAAGATGATCATCAAACCTAGCTAGCTAGTTGAATTATTTGTTAATTAAACGTACTTGTGGCTTGCAAATTGGCAGGCCATGCCGGAGGGAGAGAAAGTGATCATGAGGGCAACTTCATCGTAGAGGATAGAGAGATCAAAAGGCTTCTTTAAAAGTCCATTTATGCGTTTGGGGAAGTTAACCTCTTAAATCTCACAAAAAAATAAAAGACTTCTTCGTTAGCGAAATCTCTTTCTACTGGGAGTTCTAAAAGTTTTTTTTGTGTAACACATAAATAATCTGAATCGTTCTAGCATCCTATTTTTTCACCACATAAACAACAAATCACAAATTTAACACTTGCAATGGTATACAAAACCAACCATAAACGAAAAAGAGAATGTTGAGAAAGTAACCCAGATGAAGGCAGCTTTGGAGAGTTTAGAATCCAATTATGGTATCAACAGCCAAGATATATCACTTGTAATATCCTTTTATAGATCCCAAAACAAATACAATCTGCACAATCAAATTTCTTGTTATAGCCAAAAGAGAACAATAGTCTGCAAGGTAGTGCATCTCAAACATTAAATGAATAATTCAGATAAAATGAAATCACAAAAGAACACAGAAATTTAAAGAAAAATTCTTTATAAATTAGCATCCTGACTGCTTTGGATCCAAAAACTTTTAGCACAGACATTGCACTACAATTTATCTAAAATAAAACCCTAAACCTATGAAGGCAGCGTCTGTGATTTTTCTTTACTGAGTTATGATAAATAATAAAATCTAGCAATGAAGTTCCACATGCATGTGTCTCTGTGTTACACTCTTCTTCTCGCTACTTCTTTTTTATTAGAATTATGTGTTGGTTTTTGCCCGAACAGAAATTTCAATTGGCTAGCTTTGAGGGCTGGAAATAATATTTTCCGAGCAAGAAAACAGAGGCAAATAAATAAAACTATCGATTGAGTGCAAGTTGTACCTAAGAAATTCTTAAGCCAATGTAATTGACTTCAAAATTCTTGATTCTCTTCAGATAAATTTTTGGTTATTGTTTCTCTCTTTCATGCAAACTTACACCACTAAAGGAAGCCAGAGATTTTTACCTTTCACCTTTTACCTTCGGTTTGAGATCCTCAAGTCGTGCGCTCTGCAAGCGGTTCCAGAAAACAAAAAGCATCGTTTCCTGAAAATAAAAGGAAAACTACACCATAAACCCACACAGAGCATCTAAACACATAAACAAAATAGCCAAAATTTGAAAAAACAAAAAATTAAACAAAAGTTGTATCTGCAGACCAAAGGCCACCAAAAAAAATAAATTCTTAACAAAAGACTCAAAAGGAAAACCAAAAATTGTATACCCTCAGCACAAAAGGGCTACCAATGCTGCACACAACAGCTCCAAAATTTGATGACCAGTGCTTCCTGAATGCAAAAACCGAATCAAATTAGACAACCAGACGCAAGATCAAAGCACACAGACATAACCACCAAAATCACAAAAAAAAAAAAAAAAAAAAAAAGAAATCCAAACACAAAATCCAACTGCAAATCAAAAACCACAAAACCATTAAACAGGGACGCTGAAAAAGACCTAAAACTCTCAAATATATGTATTCTTATTCCACATATCCCGCATACATGAACCTAACTTGCCAGTGTTCACCACCCCCACTCCTCCCTCTTTCTTTATCTCCCTGCAATCCCGATCATTTCTCTCACTGTCACCCTCTCCTGGCATGGATTAATAATTACCTCAACAGCTAATGGAGCCAAAGCCAAACCCCAGGGCTTCGAAGGGCAGAAATGATCACAGAAACAGGAATAGTCCTTCTTCCTTCCCCACTACTGCTGCTGCCACTTTCTCTCTCTAAAAACCAATTGGAAATTGTTTAGAGAGAGAGAGAGAGAGGCGAGAGTGATGAGGATTGGACGAAAGAAGTATGATAAACGCAAAGGACATGAAAGCTTGAATTCGAGTCCCAAATTGAAAACAGAAAGGAGGAGTGTAAGGGTGGTTTACCGAGGTCGGGAGCGGTGATCACTTCAATGATTCAAATTATATTTAAATTATCTTCTTTAGCTCTAAAACAACAAACCCAGAAGCCTAAGGTTGCATGAATGAAAACTCAAAAATCCAAATTCCAGAGAATAATTAAAGAAAAACAGAAATACACAAAAATAAAAATAAAAACCCAAAAGAAATCAAAACATTTAATCAACAAATAGTTAACTAATTAATCAAATAAATACAATACCTGAATGCCCCGTTTGAACGACCCGATGCAAGAACTCGATAGCCCGTCACGGCAAGACCAGACATTTTAGAACTGACTGCGCAGTGAAAGGCCTTCGCCTGTGTGTCCTGAGTAGAACGGAGTGAATGGTGGTGGTTTTGTGGTGATGTTTCGCTGGAAGCAGCAGCAGCAGCGCCTAAAGCATCCCTACTAGTCGAAGCAGCAGCAGAAGAAGAAGATGAGGTGGAAGATGATGGATGTTCATAATCGAAGAGTTCGAAGGGATTTACCTTTGGATTCTTCGGCTTTCAGATGGAGTTTGCTTGTGTGTGGGCCTGCAATAACTTCGTTTGCAGGCGTGATGTTTCCATGGAATTTCTCTCGGGCTTACATACAGAGAAAGCTTATATGAATGATATTTCGGGCTGGTATATGCTTTAAAAAAAAACTGCGTCATTTGCAGGCGTGATGTTTCCATGGAATTTCTCTCGGGCTTACATACAGAGAAAGCTTATATGAATGATATTTCGGGCTGGTATTGATATGCTTTGAAGGAAAACTGCTTCATAGTATTGCTATGCTTTGAAAAAAAGTTGCTTCTGTTATGCTGTAAGAATAAGCAGATATGAAATAAAGCAGCAAAGCGTTTGGTAAACTTTTTTGTAAAAGTGATTTTGGAAAAAAAAAAAAAAAAAAAAAAAAAGTAGTATTATAGTGTTTGGTAAACTTTTATGTAAAAACAAATATGAAAAAAAAGCCGATTTTTTAAAGCTGGGTTTTGCAACTTCTTGTTTTTGGCTTTTTTTACCCAAAACTATGAAAAAAAGCTAAAGCTGAATGTTTACCAAACACAAAAACAGCTCTTAACTTTTTTTGATACTAGCTTTTTTCAAAATTACCACAGTACCAAACCAGGTCTTCTTATGTTCATTCATTTTTTATTTTGTCGCAAGATTTTCTTTTGATCTATTCAGTCCAAGGACCAAAAATAAGCAACGGTATGGATGATGAGAAAACCGTGTGCAAAAATCAATTTCTAAAAAGGAATTAGATTGATCGAGTCTAAAGGCATGTTTACTTGCAAGAAATAGAAATTGAAATCATTTCCCTCGTTTACTTTCCCTGCATTTACTTCCACGTAAAGAATTAAAAACACGTACAATTTTCCTTGAAATCTGCAATCAAATGCCTTAAAATTGGAAATAAATCGACGGGACTAGTTGATCCGATTTCCTTTCCTTCTCCTATATTTTAGTTCTCCAATTCCTTCAATTTCCCATTTGTTAAGTAACATGCCCAAAAAAAAAATAAGCCAAGGGCAAAAATAGCAAAGCAAGACATATGAGGCAACACCAACATCATCATCACACACGTCTTTGCAAACCAAACATCATCAAGAAGTTATTCAAGAGAAACAGAGTTACTATATTGTAGGGCAACATGTCTCAGAAAAATCTGGCAAGAGAGTGCAAACCTGTCGGGCCACTCGCTTGAAGTATAGATTAATTTCCCACTAAACAGATGATAAGTGTATCACAAAGACTGGTAAGATCCTTTATTAATCAAGCAATTAAGGACCAAGATTATTATTAAAAGCTTCGTAGGCAAGCTAAACTCGAATGCGGGCCAAAATCATCAACTTGCACAGAAAAAGGGTGATTATTCCAGAATAATGAGACTTATTCTAGTACACAAATACTTACCATATGAAGACATTGGAAAAACTAGGAATCATTATAATTTGTGTTGTTTATATAACTAGCTACGTAAGATTACCAAAAAAAATTAAAACCAGCAGCCACAGACCCTCACCAATCTATGAAGCTTTGCAGTCCAAGCTATGCAGCGGATGAATAAGTTTGAGCATCTTCTAAATTATGTCCAAACACTTCTAATTCACAGGAAATCGGCCTTGTGAACTCCTGTCAGATGCATGCGTTTGGGTCTGGGGTATAGGTAAGGCCTTTGTAGTAAATTCATTACTTGCAAATGTGTTACGGGCTTTAAACTTCAATTGTTCAAGAACTCGGTGTGCTTCTTTGAGTTCGTCTTCAGCACTTGGTCCGTGGCTTTCCCAAGCATCAACTACTTGCTGCTGGAATTGGATTGCAAGGACAAAGCTGGAAAATCCAGGAGAGAAAGTCTGAGAATCTATATTTGTCCATAACAATCGACATAAGACTAAACATTTTTACTAAATGCATCAATCATCTCAATGGAGTGCTGCTTGATAAATAGAATTTAAGTGCCAGATTCGTACTAAGTTCACTTTTGTTGACCAGGAAAGAATGGGAAATACCAAGGTTCATAACCACATTGTATAAATCTAATATGCAAGACAATCAGAACGAGTGTTCAGACCTTCCCATGGCAGCGTATGCTTTTGAGAGGTTCTGGCATGACTCAATTGAATTGGCATGATGGGGACCAAGTGAGACATCCATGATGTCCTTCGCAACAGCAAACATCTGTGCAGCTGACTGAGGTCTCTCTAGTTCTAAATATGCTGCCCCCAAGTTATTGTAAATATAGCCGACGCCAAAATGCTTGGGACCAAAGCTCTCCTTCAACCTCTCAGCTGCACTCTCCAAGTAAGGAACAGCCTGTGAGACCTTGCCAGTCAACAGAAGTAACCATCCTATTCTAGCCGAAACACTTCCTTCAGAGTGCTGTTCTTGTGAGAGCCTCTCAAGCAAAGCCAATGTTCTTTTTAACAGTGAAATTGCAGTTTCAAACTCATTCATAGTTTCATATTGCATTGCTATCTCCGAGTATGCTTCAGAAACATCTACTGGAGAGACTGTCTCTCTCTTATCAAGAATTCCACAAGCAAGCTCCAAACATCTCTTTGCATCTGCCGTTCTTTCTTGATTACATAATGCTTTTCCCATCGAGATAAACACCAGTGCCCTAGTCTCACCTTCCTTATCTGCCTGCTGAACAACATGCTTCAAAGTTTGAATAGCCTCGTCAAAGTTTCCCAGGGCAATCTGCATATTAGCAGCATCAATCTCCGCATGAAGCAAATCGGAACAAAGACCCCAATTCTTCAAAACCCTTTGCGACAATGCATTTTGCTCCAACGCCTTCTCATGCTCCGCCAAACCTGTATAAATAACCGCAAGAAGCCTCCTGTCATGTGCAACCTCAACCGAATTCTGCCCCAACTTTTCTTTGTGAATCTCCAACGCCTTCATACAAAATCCTAATGCATCCTTAAAGTTCAAAAAGAGCTACATATGCCTCTGCCAAATCCCGGTGTCCCTTGCCAAGTTCAGTACTATCTTTCTCCAACATCAATTCCTTAATCTCCAAACACTTCATAAGATTCCCAAAAGCCTCCTCTCTCCTCCCCATTGCCGTCTTCACATTCGCCAATTCAAGCTGCACAGCATGTAGCACCGGCCTAAGATCCCGAACATCAAAACCCTCCTCCTCTAATCTATACAATGCTCTATTAGCCCTATTAAGGTACCCCAAACTATCACTAAACCTTTTTCAATCCAGAATTAACAGAACCCATCAATTGTAAAGCCATGCCAACAACCAAAGAGGGCTTACCGCTATCATCTCTATCCAAAGCCTTCAATGCCCTGGTAGCAAAAGACAGAGCCTTTTCAGGATCCTCACCATCCTGGTCAAGCTTGAGACCGACTTTCAGAGCAGCCATGCCGAGCTCCCTCTCTTCGAAAGCCGACTCCATGGCCTTGAAAGTCGCAAGCATTTCTTCGGTGGTTTTCGCAGACTCGAAAGCTTCTTCAAGGTCCGATTTTTACATGGATTTTCTCTGCCTGGAGGAAATTGGAGGCGATGATTCGACGAGGGTGTTCATATTTCGAGATGGGTTTGCTTGGAATAGGCTGTTTTGGGAGACCGATTCATGGGTTATGGCGCAAGGACGGAAACGTGCCGGTGAGACCGGTGAGACCGGCGGCGGAGAGGGGAAGGAGGAGGGGTGGTCGGAAATGTACTTTCTGGAAAGAAGAGGAGGAGCGGAGGATTTGAGTCTCAGGCGAGTGAGGTGGGAGAAGAGAGAGATTGAAGATTTTCTCATGGTCGGAAGTGTTGAGAGGTTTTTGTGAATTTGTGATGGGATTTTTGTTAAACCCTTTTTGCATAAACCCTACGAACTGCTTCTGTGAATAGAGCCAGTGGAGACGATGGACAAGAACCATGCTGTGGGCGGTAATATTTTTTGTGCGGTTTTCTTTTCATTTTGTTAAAGGGAACTCCCGGCGAACCATGGTTATTAATTTTTTTTTTAAGTTTGAAAGAGCTTAGTTAAGAATTGAATTATAACCGTACATGGTCAAGCAAATCTACAACTTATAAAGTATCGATATAATTGTGCTTATTTGGGAATAAAAATACGAATGGTATGGTTTGAATGCATCATCTCTCACAAAAATATAAAATTATCGCTTTTGATACCATTTAACTCCATATTAGTTTCGTTTAGTGTAAGATCTTTAGATCAGTCTTTTTGAAGTTTCTCTTGTTTTAGAATCATTACTTTTGTTGCCTAATTGGTAAGACTATTAAACTACCATGCATGAGAGTTGAATTGGAATTTTCTATTTATAAGCATTGTTTAATATATTGATGTGGATGAAATATTGATACATGTTATAAAAAGGTCAAAGTTAGAGGAATAACCTTTTTAATGGTAGGTGCAAGGTAGATGTAAAATGCCACCCTAAAACTATAGCACTGGCAGATAACAAATAAAAGCAGAGAATTAGATGATGTTACTGATATTTTTCTCTCGTTCACTTCTTCTTCTCTTTTCTTGTAACTGAAAAACATGCGGAGTGCTCTATTTATAGCGCAACTCCAAATTGATGCAGTTAATGCATTTTGAAATTTTACGACACTTCGTCTGACTATACAATCTCTATGTATTCAACTTTCACTTTGCATGGGCATTGAAAACTTCTGCCCATGCTGAAGACTTTTGCTAACATACTGTGTGGGCATTCATTGTCATCAGACTTTTCAACAATACACAAATTTATAAAAATATAGATGAATATATTGATATTGATATCGGTTGTCTTTGATGATGAAAATTTTGTCAAAACATAAAAATTCAAACTGAAACTTTAAAGAAAATCATATCAAACCATAATATATGACAAATGATACAGACAATAGAGACTTGAAGATAAAGAGAATAAGTGCCAATTTGAAAATGGTAAACTCTAAGTTGGGGTAGGTATATAACTCATTCATATTTAGTTAATATTAGAGAAAAAATTCTCAAAAATATTTCAAATGTGCAATGGTTCTGGTGAAATTTTCTTAATAAATCAATAAATATTATCCATATCATAAATTTTCCGATTTCTCGCTGACATTTTGCATTTCAGACTCCAACCCCCTCCCCCGACCGTATCGATACTTGGTTTTTGGACATTTCGATGAAATATTGACAATTTCGTCGATATTTAAAACACTGTTTACAAGTGATCAAGAATACAACTTGATAATCCACAATACTAGTGGCATCATAGAACAAGAAATTAAAAATGACAATTAACTTACATATATATACATATATGGATGTAACTGTACAAATTTGGAGGGGTTCTGGATGTTCTTTGGCCTCAGTCACCCTCACAAAGTTAAGCATTGGCCTAATCAAGAATCGGTTGAATTTATATACAACAAAGAATACACAGATTCGTTTAACGAGTACTTAACGTTAATCACATTCCACAGTAGCTGCAAAACCACCCAAATTACTTAAGCAAGAACCTCTTGAAAAAACCAGAGGGGAACAAATCTATATCACTAAAAGCTTGGGGGTGGCTATGGCTTTATTTCCAGAGTTTCTGGAGGTCTAGTACTATACACATCATCGAAATGAAGATTAAACTCTCCTGCCTCTAAGTCTAGGTCATCCACATACCTTGTTTGGGACAAACTGTGATAGTTCCTCCAATCCAACAGTTGTTCTTGTTCTTGTTCCAGTTCTTCTTCTTGTTCACGTTCCTTGAAGCTTCTTCCTGAGAAGTTTCCGTGATAATCATCTGACGGCTGACACATGAAGTTTGGAGGATCGAGAAAGCTTGACTGGGGCTGTTTGCCGTGTTGGGCGAAATCTGGAGGCTCGAGAAAACTTGACTGGGGCTGTGTATCATGTCGGCCAGTTCTAGCCCACCAATGACTCTGCATTGGATGTGCAGAAGTACCCGCATCAGGATGCTGAAGTACACTCTCTCGGTGGAAAGGTGCCGAAGTAGAAGCCCCCATATTAGACTGTGAACGATCATCATAGTGTTGAGCCCAAAGATCTTCAAATTTCAGTTGATTATCTAGACAGCTGGTTGGATTCCAATCAGCAGAATGTTGCTCAGTAGCTTCAAATGGTTCTTCTGGAATGTCCCCAGTGTAACTTGCCGTATGGTGTGGCCGAGAGGTGTAATAACAATCAAGGAGATAGGGGTGATTCTTTTGATCCGCATCAATTAACCACAGTGACCCCATGTGATAGCCAGTTCCAGGGGTTGGCCTTTCCCGTGATAAAAAGTTCCTGTCGCTAAAGCCTCTTGGAGGAGAATATGTGTGTCTAGTTCCTTGTCCCTGCAACTTTTGCTCCCGGAAAGTTCTCAGTTGTTTTACAAACTGACTTCCTTGAGTATTGGGGTCCCATGATGGATAGTTGCTCTTGAAGCTGCCACAAAAATTGGATAGCTCATAAGATTCGAGATGCGGAAAGGAATTTATCCGGGGCATGCCGAATTAGCATAGTCCTAGTAATATTGCATTTTTTTTACAACTACTTAATTACTGCTTACAGGAATCTTATGGGTAATGGTTGTGATCATACCTCAAAAACGATTTCTCCATTTTCCCCTGAGAACTCCTCTGGGAGCGAGGTACATTGTAAGGAGACCCGTAATTGCTATTACCATGTTTTTGGAAGTCGAAGGTGCTAAAACTGCCAAGAATTCAGGGCAGTCAAATTTCGTATTCTTGTTAATAGAGTATACGGTGCCAGAATACAGATGAAAAGACAGTGACAACAATGATTGGTGAAGAATACCGACCTACATACATGACCAACACCTTCAACATCTACCGTGAAGTCTGCAATAAACTGTAATATGTCATCCACCCTCTGCAAAATAAAACACAAAAATACATTAAAACAAGAAACTGCAAATTGTGAGATTAGCAATTACAATAGAAACTGACCTTCGGGACAACAAATATAAGTAAATATGGAGCAAGGAAGATTGAGGCCATCTCCTCAAGTAACATCATTCCAGTATACTGCATTTGGAAAAACGAAATAGCATGAGCAGCAGCTTAATTTGTGTATTAATCATAACATGCAATAATAAGTTGTTTTGTTAAGAGCAAAATTATTTACAAAACTAGATTTAATATTAGTTGTGAACAATCAAACATTTACTGGGACATATCTATATAGACTCAACCACGTATGTGATGCAGAAATGGCCCTACTAAGTATCTGTTTCACCAACGGGAAATAGAAATGCAGAATGGGACGTACTATGTATGTGATGCATAAATTCAATTGGCATGCCCACGATTATTTCCCATAATCAATCCCAGTATAAAACTGACAAGAGGAAATGAAACGTCCCAGGATTACCTGAAACAGGGTTTCAAACTCTACCCGAACCCTTCCCGTATTCTCTTTGCCACGCCATGTCTTCGGCATATAATGTGTATATTGTACCACCATAGACATTGCCACCTCTGGATCAAGGACCAGCAGCTCATTGGCAATGGCAGCCCTGCTGATAGCTGTTATAGCTCCAAAAACAGCAGCATACCAGAACAAGTTGCGTCCAAATATCTACATGGTTCAAAAATATTGTAGAAACAAAATAACTTATTAGCATCGATATGTATACAGACAGCCTGAAATAGCATTACTTTATAAGTATCTTACATGGCCCTCTAGCAGAGATTCCTCCAGAAATGCAATGATGATTAGAATAGCAGCAAAGCCACCAGAAACAAAAGAGATGAATTTCGCTATTATAGAAATAATAGGAGACGGAAATTGCTTCAGATAATCAGAAGCATGCACTACACTGCTAGTGATTCGGTGTTTAAACAAATGCTCCACCTGCCATTCACCATGCAGGTCGTACAATTAATACAAAGAGAGAAAAGTGCAAAACACAGTACAATTATAGACACTGCAAACAAAAAGCATGAAGGGAGGGGAAGATTGATTTTCCTAAGCCAACATATTAATTGGACCTTAAATGAGAACTTTTGACTACCAAATTTTTCTGTAGCATAAGTACCAGACATGGGAAAAGGATTGTGTTGAACTTGAGAGGAACTAAAACATTACCTCATTAAATTCCCTAAACATCCACCTTGACAAATTTGACCACCTTCGAGATGATGCTGTGCTTGGATGGTTATAAAACTGTTCTGCATGCCTCAGGAAGAGATATACCAGCATGAATATGACAAGAAATGGTGAAAGGAGAAGCATTACGAACCCAACTACCATGAGCCTTTTCTTTAACGTTCTTGGATTAGATATAAAATCCCTTGTAACACAGAAATTTCTGCAGAAAGAGTACACATCGTTACAAAAGAATTATACAACAGAAAACACAGGACAAATAACATGCTCCAGAGTGCATCCTATTTGAAAAGAATTACACACTTCATGTAAAAGGAAATACACAACACCAGACAATGAAACAAGAATGAAAAACTATCAACCAAACCATACTCTACCCTTGAGTAGTCCTTGAAGCATGACCACTTGAACCAATAAAACCTCCTACCCAAGGTTCTAGTGTAGATAGGTCCCAGTTTATCATTTTTCTTTATATCGTGCAAAGATCTATAAGTACACCAAGTAGATTAGAAACTAAAAGCAATTACAATATTCAACAAAGTTTGACCAAGAGACTATGCCAACTCAACCCAATACTTTCTTGCCAGCCAGGGATGATCTCTGATATAGCTTCTAATTTTTAGTTTCATTTTAAAGAAGTGCATTACAGTTTTGCTCCTAGCATCTATAGGATAAATATTCACTGTAGCTAACAAAACATGTAAGTACAAAAACAAGAAAGAAGGCATCATAATGTATTCCAGATAACTGTAAATATGATATAGGTCATATGCCACTTGGATAAAAGATCAAGAATCCAAGTGAAATCGAGGAGTACACAAGTATAGCATAATGTTTGTACTAAGATTCACACTACCTATCAAACATGCTCTGCAGAATGCACCAATTTAAGGTCCACTCAAGGGTTTTTGTCAGTATTAATCGTTCTTGCTTTCCATCTGAGCCAAACTTGACAGTTGGACCAGCACCTGGAACCCACTGCGAAATCGGGAAAGCAAGCACTCCCTTGTTAAGCATTCCAATCAAGTAGTTCTCCTTCCGCATCAATCGCATAACCACATCATGAGCAGAAAGATCTTTGACCACACAGAGCTGCTGCGATCTTTGCAGCTGAACAACCTTTTCAAGAATTGATGCCCATGGCATGGTCTGAATTTCATTGTCTGTGACATGGAGACTGCAAGAAGACAACCAAAATCACAATTCTTTACTAATAAAGGCATAGGTTCTGTAAAAAACAACAGACATTGCTAAAAACGCATTAAATCTTTTGAGGTCGAACTATTCAGACATACCTGTTGTGATAGAAGTGACGGACACCCAAAGTATCCCTTAACTGAGAGAAAAACCTCAAAAAACAGAAGACCAAATAAATGGAAAATATGCCCAAATATCCAACAATGATAGCTTTGGAAAGAGTTAGAGGGGTTAATGGGTGCTGATGAAGGGCTTCCTTAGCAAGGTCACAGGGCTTAATTCCAGATTCGAATGCATCCATCCCACATTTTGCATTACGAAGACCATTCCAATCAACTTTTAATAAGAAGAATCCTGAGAACAATATAGTGAAGCCCAAGCTCAGAAGTTCAACTATCCACTTTATAATAATACACCAAAGTCCTTTCTCACAGTAGTAGCTGTAGAGCCTTTCAAAGAACAGGTCCAAATCAGCAATTGGTTCCACATTTATACTCTCACCATTAAGAAGCCCTGAAGGGCTCTCACTGCCAGGACTCGGTGCCCTACCATATTCAGATAATTCAACCTCAGGAGCCACATCCCTAAGCAATGCTGATGTCAAAGATGAATCGCCTTTCCACTTTAAAATGCCAAGAGACGTCACACCCTTCAACCTACCGAACATCATTCGCAAAGGCTGACAATTGACAGATACAGCCAGTCCATTCCACAAACCACTATACCTGTTAAGCAGGGTTCTGTAAGCAATAAAAAGCATAAAATAAGTCCTTTTACCGGCACGTAAGTTGTAGACAAACTTCAACATAGGTGAAAGAGGGAAAACTATACAATGCAGTAACAAAATTAATAAGCCCTCCCACCAAAACCGAAGCACCTCAATCAGATTATCATCACATTGGAATGACAGTTTAACGAGGATCAAATTACAACTGAAACCAACCATGCACTGTCTCCAGCACACTAAACTGATCAGCTAAACCCAAGTTTTTTTCTGATTGAAAAGAAACTAAAAAGTATATAAATACGCCAAACAAACCAAACTTAGAAAATGGCCTCTAGTTTCACTATCTAGTTGAGTAAAAGTAACACAGCGCAACCGCGAGAAACGCTCACGGAACCTCTCCAGTGCAATGTAACACAAAATCCCGTAGGCCTAGCAACCACTTTGTTTTTTATCCTACATAAAGCAATATACTTCGGCTGTTTACTTTCCGGGAAAGTTCCAGACTTTTGTGCAACAAAGTAAAATCATATCCGAAAATCGGAATAAACCTGATCATTAAGCTTGACCACAAGTCAATTCGCCGAGAAAATAACAGTCTAACAAACAAATCAAACAAAACCCAGAAACCCAAATGCGAAAACTCGACAAGAAAAAGTACAAAACCATGTTTATGCACATAATTAAAAATTGAACAAAACTCCAACATATTTACTCTTTCTTTTGGGCTAAACAAACAAAACCCAAATCGAAAAACAACACGATAAAGTTAAAGAAGGTATCTTTACGTCCGACCCACGAAGCAGTATCCTCAGAAGAGTCGAAATCAATGAAATTTACTGGAACACAGGAAAGATACTTTTCGAAAAGGACACCCAATTCGAAACGGATTGGGACGGTCAGAGAAAAAGGGCAAGGGGAAGAGAGGTGTGGAGGTGAAAAATGGGGAAGAAGCTGAAGGGCAATGGTCCTGTAAACACAAATGGCTCTGCGATTAATTGAAAGCAGAGAGGAGAAACCGAAGACAGGGGAAAGCTTTTGGGGTTTTTATTTTTTATTTTTTTTATTTATTTTTTAGGTGTTTTGTTTTCTTCTGCTTCTTTCTCTCCGTGTGAGAGTTTGCTTGTTAAATTGTATCAAATAATAAGAAAAGATTGGGAAGGAGACGTGAAGTTGGGTAAGTGCTTTTGCTAATGGAGGCCTTTGCGTCTGATGCTTCACAAGCCTTGGTTTCGTTGGAATTGAAGAATAATGGGGTCAAAAATCTTTAAAAATTGCAAGTTTGATTGGGGAGGGTTTGCTTTGGGCCTAAAGATGGCCTGGGTAACAGTGATATTTTGGGGTTAAGGGCTTACAGGGGAGCCCAAGAATCTATTTTTTAGGGTGGCGGTATTTTCGAGGGCGATTCGAACTAGAGTGTAAAGGAGGCTAACACGCTATCTCAATCAACTAGCCTAATACACATATTTAAACAACTCTACTTGGGGTGGAAGAAACTGGTCCAACGAGCACCAGATTAGATATAGCGACATTGATTGTCTTAGTAAAATGGTTATAGTTAAGACAGCGGTAGTTGTGGAATGTTGTACATAAATTTTAAAAGTTTGAACTTATGAGGCACATGAACTTTTTTTTTTTTTTTGGTTTATGAATTAAATAAAGAAATTTGTTTATGTTAATTTTAAGTTTCAACTCTTATCAATTTTTTAAGGTTCGAATTTCATTTCATAACAAGTTTGATACGAATTTATTCTCATATCCTCTTAGTGTAATATATCATTATATCAATTTTTCATCTAATCTCATACTAGGGGTGTATACAATCTCTACTATTATAAAATTAGGCATTGTTTAGACGAGACCTTTCAGTGTGTTGGAAATATGGATGAAACACTACATGTCATTATATAATTGAAGCAAAGGTTTTTTGTTTTGTTTTGTTTTTTTTTTTTTTCAATTGTCCTTCCAATTGTATAACGACATGTTGTGTTCCAAGCACACAAAAAAATCTCTCTTTGTTAAAAGTCACAAGGCTCACGAAGAGAAAAACAGTGGACGCAGATAACCTTGAAACAAAAAAGCGCACTAACTGAAAAGGAATTGAGAAAAATTATTACCATGGGTATATGACGTTTTGTTACTGATTTTCACGTTTGCGTCGCGAATCAATTCCTAATGTGATATTGTGGAATCTTGTGATCTTGCTGTTGTTTTATGTGTGTACAATCGAAGAAGGGTAAATTGATACTTGACATTGCACAAATTACAAACACCTCTTCCAATTTTGGACAAGGTTTGTTGGAGAAAAATCTGTCAACTCTGCCTCCGAAATCTTTGATGCGATTTAAGTGTTTCTGTAAATGGTGGCATGCTCTCATCAACGACCACCCCATGTTCGTAGACAAGCATCTGTCCAATTCCTTGCACAGCAATCAATCAACCCGTGTCTTTTTGAAGCGAATGTTAGTCCCACGGAGGACCCAAATCCAAATGGTAACATGATTCAATCCTTATTCTCAGTACTTTTGACAATGTTGTTGATGACGACGACGACGATGGTGATGTGCATAAGCATAGCATTCTTTCTAGTATCGAGGACATCAATGTTCCTCTTTCTATGAGTCTAGAGATTGGGGATGATCAATCACTTGGTGTTATGGGATCATTTGTGTAGCTCCACCTAATCCTAGTAAGGTGATTTTGTTGCGGATTGTGTGTTCGTGTTGCTAGGGACAATATATCTTCATACCACGTTAGTTTACCACACGATTTTGGAGTTGTATAATGGAGAGATGAGTCATGTTGGTATGGAGAGGTCATCAGGAGGTTGAACTTGACGAGTTGTGAAGAAGAGGAGAAGAAGCTTATAAAAAGACAACAGCGAGCTTAGGATTTGAAAATGTTCTTACCAAACAAGAGTTTAGGATTTGAATTCAAAAATTGTTTTGAGTTATAAAAATTAAATCTGAAAAGAATACCAAATGAACCCTAAATTATTTTCAGCACGAAGATTTTTAATTTATTTTGTCTAGTGGCTTTAATAAAGCTTTTTTTCCCCAGCTCGTGGCTTCATCATTGCTATGGACATTCATTGCCTCAATGGTGCTCACTATCTCCTTCGTTTATTACAACCCGGGAGTTGAGCTACCTTTGCGGCCGGCAGTCCCCGCCCCTTATCCCGTGCAGCTACACCACCTTCAAGCTCAGGATCGAGAGAGGTGTGTGCGAGTATTCAAACACAACATCGGCGCACGTAAACATATCCGTGGTGTGCGACATATTTCCTCCACATTCCGGGTAATTTTTTCCATTGACTTATGTTTATTTTTGTTGGTTTTTTTATTACACGAGAGGTAAGTCTATACTAATTTTTCTTTATGATTATTGACTTTATGTTCAAGGCTGGTTCTCTCTATATGTCCAAAACTTGTATACTCCGAGAGACGATAGAAAATATTATCTTTATTCTCAATATAAAGAGAGAAATCGAAAATATATGCAAATATAATCTTATGACAAAAGTTTGACTGAGTGACGAGTTGGTGCATTAGGTGTTCCGTGGGTTCGATTCCTGAAGAGGTTGTTGCCTTCTTTTTTATCAAATGTTCGGATTTTTCTATTCCCTTTTATTAGTCTTTATTTGTTTATTTTGACTTCTAACCACAAATTTAATGTAACACTTGACAAAAATAAAAATAAAAATAAGTGAGTGAGAAGTTGGTGAATATTGCAAGTAGTCATCTACTGCAGTGACAGAAATGAGTGTTGCCCTTACACTACTGCGGGATTCCGAACCAACAAATCTATTGTTTGACCCAAAAAAAAAGAAAAAAGAAAAGATAAGTTGGTGATTATTAGGTATCCTTTGGAGTTTGTGTGCCAGGTTGAAAATATGGGAGATGGATCCCATCCGAATCCAAGTTGTGAGGATGCTAGAGATCTTCACATTCTAACCGTTTATTGTACATTGTGCGGTCATAAATCATTTTGAATTTATTATTTAAAATTAAACACAAATAGTACTTAACGAAAATTAACTGCACGACGTACGATAAACGACCATGATGTAAGGATCTCTAGAATCCCTAGAAAGAAAATCCAAAGATGATCCTCCTCCCAAAATATGAGGTGGTTATTGTTGCTGCCTTTTTTTTATAAAAAAAAAAAATATATATATATATATATATATATTGTTGCAGTCGTATTAGATTAGGAATGTAATTGTGTAAATCTTAGTATATCTTGGAATATCTATCATATTCCTATTAGGAGTTATTACCTATTAAGAGTTGTAATCCTAAAAGGATAAGGAATTAACTTTCTCTACTACTATAAATAAAGACACAATGGGGTGGAATAGAACACACCCACAATTACACATCTCTCTCTTCTCTCTACTATTGCCACACCTTTCTCTCTCTCTCTCTCTATGGCCTCCATAGTTGTTCAGTAAATTATGTCTATAATACGTTATCAACAAGCTCTTGAAGCTGCACTAAAGAGAATTTGATCTTCAAGCAGGAGAGTATTACGTTTTAAACATTCTTTTTATGATTAATTTATTATTTTGAATTGATCTACATGTTATTGATTCAATTTAATTTTTTTGTGTTGAACGTGATACAACGCATTGAAGATGCAATTACGGCTTTTTGAGAATGATCTTCTACAAATTCAATAGCTTTTGTCATTTTCTGCCAATCAGGTATACTTAAAATAAATTAGGATATTTGAAACAATCTTGAAGCTTGAAAACATTCCCTATGATGTATGAAAGCCCTTATGTTTATATTTTCCTTCCGATATATATATATATATATATATTGTATATGTTCATATATTTGTTTCATGCATTATTGTAAAATCTCACATCGACCAACGGAGAGGGGGTAATGTACCTTATATGTACATGTCCATCTTCATATAGCATGGGGCCTTTTGGGAGCTTACTGGTTTTGGGTTCCATCGAAACTCTGAAGTTAAGCGAGTTTGCACGAGAGCCACTGGGAAGTTCTCGTGTGAGTTCCTAGAAACAAAACCGTGACGACGTGGTCGGGTCCTAAAGCTGACAATATCGTGCTACGGTGAAGTCAAGCCCGGGGCCGAGATGTGACATTATGCAATTTTATTTGCTATGTGGAATTTGTGAGTCAATGTATATAAAGTAAATTAGAAGTAAATTTTGGGTTTCCTAAACCCTAGGTTCGAAAAAAAATTTGGGTAATCTTTGACATCACCGTGGGATGGCGTCGACAAACTGGACCACCTGCGCAGCCCTTTTGGGCCTGCTGCTCCACATCAGACATAACCAAGCCTCGGCTTGGCTTACATGTCACACGGGCCTAAAAGCCCCGGTCCACCCAGCCCAAACCCACATGCCAGAAGCATGCTGGGTTTGTTCCCAGGCATGGGCTTGCAGCCCTGATCCCTTGTCTCGGCCCACTTCCAGCAAGCTACCATGTTTGCTGGGCTTATATTAGTCTCGGCCTGCAGTTTTTCAGCCAACCCATGCCGCTGGGCTCCTTTCCTCGACCCTATACTATAACTAGTCTTCGGCTGGGTTCCCCGCACCACAACCAGGCTAGCAATTTTGCTAGGCTTGTTCGCGTGCCTAACCCCTCTGGCCCAACATGCCAGCCTTCATGGCTGGGCTTATCCATTGGACCCGTGGCTTGCAACCCACTCCCGAACACCTATTTTGCTCACGGCACCCAACCCTATCTTTTGGACTATGCTATTTTAGACCTGATAATATTATTTTAATATTATTTTGATTTTACAATCGACCATGTATGACTTGATTCATTGAATTAATTAAAGGTGACATGCAGTCCATTAATCTGATAATGAATCCAAAATTATTAACCTGGAGATCACTTTTGGACATTAACGATTCAATATTTTATTTCTTTTCTTTGAACCGTTGACATACTTTCGTAGTCCCGAAACGTTCACACTTGAGTTTCTGAAGCAACTTAAATCCACTACACTTAAATCAACATATTGCATTCTGTGTTCTTGCAGGAATCTATCCTTTATGAACTAAACACTCATAAACCAAATTGAACTTGTACTTTCAAATTTAGTGCCTTTGAAACCCGAAGTTTTCATAAAACTACACACCCATGAAAACCCGACATTTTTCATGAAAACCATGTCTTAGAACTTGAATGTTCTAACTTTGATACTTATGGATGATTCATTCCCATAACACCAATC